AATCCGAGGATCACCTAAATTCATTTCCCAGCGTGTTGTACGCACATAGAACGTTTCAGTCATCCAGGTAGGAACAAGCGATTAACTTATTTAACCCGAGAAATCGCCTTATTTCTTAATGACCTTACCCGCAAAGCAGAGAGGCGATTAACGTATGTCGCGAACCGTCTAGAGCAGATAACGCGACTTTCGACTGGCAACAAACTACCCATGACGCCGTAACAGGACGAGTATAGTGGTAAAGGGACCAAAAAGCGTTTTATGGAACATCCAGCCCGTTTGTTAAATAGGAAAACAGTCGACAGCCGGGTGTCTCAAACGCCTTCCTCATGTTGGATGGCAGTCCATACAGAAGCGAGTTGTGATCGAAGTTGTTCACCCTACCTCCGTTAGGTACTTCATTCCGCATAGAAGTTGGGTGGTCACTGGCCTTATAGCCGAAAACATTGTTTTTGTCACATAGTTGTACGATCACACGTGGTATTTAATGCATAACCAGATAGCCAGACTCGAACTCCCCACGAGCTCATTGTCCTCGGCTGCTTATTAAGCTCACATGCGGAACAAGCGAGACCCATTCACACTTGCCCTCAGTAAGAAAGCAGTCCCTGATTTACAACCAGCGTGAGCACGCGACCTTGTGTGACAAGCTCTTAAGCCGCCAATAATTAGACATCCATTCTCAGGCACTCCTTGCATAAGTACAACTCTACCCATAGTGCACCATGTTATCATAGCAATATTACTATAAGCCTGTAGCAGTACATTCATCTTTGGATTTAGTGGTCCACACCCTACCAAACTACGGGACTCGTTGAAATTTCACTCCATTACCTCTACGAAATAGTACCCAGAGTAACTTTCGCACGTTGCTTTCAAGCGCATTGCGTGCTGACCGTGGAACAAGCACTAAGACAACCCATATATCAGCTGCATTACAATCTTATTGGCAATGTGGTTACGTTGCCCATCGCAATCGCATGACTCCAGCAAGCTTTCTGCTCTGTGGTCAGCGCACTAGTGAAGGTGTCTGTGTCCACTGGCGCACATGCGATTTCGCGGTTTGACCCAAGTCAGCTGTGACCGCCTGCGCTTCAATGCGCCACTGGTATTGTGGTTTTCGTCTCGACTACACCATATATCCACAGCAAGCGATAGATTGGACGGACAAGCTCCCGGGGTTTAGCATAAGAACAACGACTGTCGACTGAGTCTGAATGCGGGTAGCCATTGGCTTTAATCGACAATGGGATTTGTTCTTGTGGTGCGTCGGATCGAGTCCAAATTCCTTAGCATAAACCGACCCAGTTTCCTCTTAACTGGCTTTTGGTAACATCAAATATTAACCCATCTGTCATGTAATCCGTCCCTGTCTAAGTGACAAGTAACACACGAGCAACTCTGGGCTGTAGGGAGTCCCCTACACCCCGTGAACTTTGCATGCGCACACTTTGCCATATCTATGCAACCGATAACTTATTTGATTGCGGCGCATAGCTAAGGAAACCGCCGAACGATGGTGTGCGCATGTCACAGTCGTTCGGCTTAACTTGGTTCATCGGAAGGACCAGCCTGTTAGCACGACAGTTGGAATTGATATGTGGTTAGCGCAACTTCTTAACTGTTTGCGCTAACATGACTCGGAAATGGTATGAATATTTTCTTCTCTATCAAAGTGCTATTTGACTACTGATACGTAAAATAGGTTGTTACACTGCGGCTTACCTTCTCACGTATTGCCAATTAGTGTATTTTGGGGAGATTTATTCGGTTTCGGTGAGGATTCGTGGCAGATAGTCTTGAGCAAACAGCAAACACCCTTTCAGGAAAGCGTTGCTCAGTGGCGCGCATTCGCCGCATCATGCTGGAATTAAACCTGCAACCTTATTCGGACGAACCAGCGCCTTATGCCTCCGAGCTATGTGTGATTGCTGCGTACCGCCATGGTTGATATCTAGCTGCGATACTACTCGGCTAATTCTCTAAGTTGACCCGTCCCAATAGGACGAAGCGAACGCCTCGCGCTTTTCCGGAGGTGTGGTGTCTGTCTGATTGAGTCCAACTGCGAGCAAGCTTCCCCGAAACCCAATAAACCCCCTACTACTCACTAATTTGCAGTTATCGCCTTAGCAGCTTAAGTTCCACGTCAATTAGTGGCTTCTTGCAAAGGAAGTCTTAGCTCTAAGGGCCAGCTCTATCTTCTGCACATTCAAAATGCGTATGTCAGTAAAGCATATGCTTTCCTGGATATGTGCTACCTCTATGCCTGAGTCTTTCTGCAACGAATCTTCACCAACTTCTCGCATTGTATTAGTGGCCGGAGACTAGTGCACTGCCGATGTAGCTGAAGTTCACATACATGCTGCCCACTTGTTTCATGCGGCATCTGGTTTGCTTCTCCTTCCTAAGTAAAATTAAACCACATAAAATTTCATCTCTGTGTGTGTAGCGCACAGATTGTCAGCTCCCTCGGGTCAGGTTAACCTCTTTTCTGATTGGTCCTGTTTATGTCTGTTTATATCACAGTGCATTGAAACGATGGTACATTCGGTGTGCTAATTGAACCTATACTTGTTGGCTATTTTTGATTGAATTGTAGTTGTCAACAGGCGTGTACCGGAAGAACAGAGGGATGAGTCGTATTGCACTTATTGTTTCTAATTGGTTGCAAATGGTACCGTATTCTAGCGCTGGATTTGTTGTTGTTGGTTCCGATGGAAAGTAGTTGGCCCATGGCTTACCAGCGATTTGACGCTTAAACTTCCCTTGGTAAATTGCCAACATTCATGACCCATGTGTATCCTAGTTTTGGAGGAATGTGGTGTTCCGCTTTGATCAGTAATGGGTCCACGTTTATTCTACTTGTTACTCTATGTATATAACAAGGTTTGTCGACGAATTAATAGCAGTGAGGACCCGATTTCCTCCAACGTGAACTGGTTTGCTTTTATGAGTGCTTAACGAAAAATCGGTTTGGTTTAACACAACTGAGTGAAATGTGATTCCCCCACGTTATCCGCCGATGAGCGCGTACAAACTTGGAGAAAACAACTTTCAGTGGGCCTCACCTGAAGATGCCCGTGCGATATTTGTTCAAGTGGAACTCTGATGCTTGAAATAAGCACATTAGGTGCAAATGACCGACCATTAACTCCTTGGTCCCCTCAGAATACTCGGTCGGGTTAACCTCTCAATCTGCCAACAAATGCTTAACACGTACGCGCGGCCGAACATAGAATACATCATCCAGACGTTGCACCCGAAGCAAAGGCATCATCTTGCTGTTCTCGAGAACTCCTCAAAAATAGGTATGGCGCAACGTTAGAGGCCACTTTCTTCGATGTCAGCATAGAATGAGGCCCCCAGGAATATCCGGCACTTGATATTAGCGCTAGCGAACGAACTTCATAATTGTTCACCAAAACTTGAAGGACCCAAAACACACCTTCCACTGCTGGAACAGAGCAATAAAGGCTACCTGAGAGATCTGTATGTAGAGCTGACCATACAGTATAGACGGCTGGAATACTGCAGAAATGTCCTCTTCCTTTGAGTGTGTCGGACATGGAGGGCTCTCCCAAATTATGCCGTCTCTGCACCCAAACTGAAGTCACTAAAATACCTCTCGACGTAGCTAGGTCCTATTCAAATTTTATTTCATAACTAGTATTAGCCGGAAGCATTTGTAGCGCAACCAAACGGTTGGTTTCCGCAATTCTAGCCGGTGGCTTCATACTTATCATTCTGTGAGCATCTCGGTGTTTTACTCATGTCTCGGTGCGAACAATTTGACAGTTCCATCAAGATATTCGTCATTAGTTATAATTATCTTAAATTCTTTCTATACTATGAGCATATTAAGCATTGCATTTTTACCTTAAATCCACCATTATTGTATTATTTCATTACCGGCCTTGGTCAGTAACGGAACTCTGAAACCGCCTATTTCATCTGCGTTGATATTAGACAGGGCAATTTGTTCTTGGCCTCCAATTGAGTTGTCTTTAGACCCTTAACTGCTTAATTTCTCAAGTTCCACCGTTTCTTGTTCATCCGTCAGTACGGCACTTTACTTGCATGCTGACTTTTGCGTCTTCTCTTAAGCTGCTAATCACGTCTTTAATTGTAATAAGTCTTCTAATCCCTCGTCAGGCGTGCACGTCAGGAAAACCATATGCGAAAAAGGTAAGCTCTTTTCAACGCTTTGTAAAGTCCAGTATAACTAAGCGCTAACGATTTGCGGAAATATTATATCCAATCATCAGACTACTCTATGTAGTATCGCAGATGGGAGCCGTTCTACACGCACGAAACTATGGAATTCAGATTAATTTATTTCTGGTGTTTTTGGCACAGACACAATGCATAGGCTTGTGACGAATGGACCGCTTTGGAATGTTTCTGTGGTCTCGGAAATTCGATTTTTCGTTTTGTTTTAGTTCACATAAATTTCGAGTGCACCTTTCCACACTCACAACTGAATCACTGCCAAATTTTACCACCTGATGGATTACACCACCAGATAAACGCACGTGCATAAGCTAACGCAAGTAGTGCTCTCTTGGAAACAGTACCGCTAAAAATATTTTTTAGTGTTGCCTAAGAAAGTTCAAAAACGGCTGTTTTATCTCCCTCTAATGATTGACAATCTTGCAAAAATTGTGCTTCAATGAAGTGCTATTAAATCTCTGAATGAACAGTTTGACAATACTTAGTGATCAGCAAATATGTTTTCACTTTCAGATGAAAAAGTCGGCATTGCTGGTCGCACAGGTGAGCATTACTCGTTTAGCACACGAAAGACGCTTGAAGCTCCAATGACTTGAACATCTATATTTCGTATTGATGGATAAGCAATATACAAAGAAATATGGGTTCCCGTGAAATAAACGCTAGTTACTGTACAAAAAGTGACAACATTTGATGGAGATTTATCAGGATGCAGTCTGTCGGCTATGAAAAGCGCAGATGTATCTGAAGAATCACAGCAAGCGACGACTTCACTGACATTTTGCGTGTTGATGCTGACCTATAGCCCAGTCGCTTATACTGTTTACAAGCCTGGTGCCTCCCTGCGTTGAAGCATCTGAAATGAATGCAACGTTGCTCTCACGAGCACCTTTGATGATAAGCTTTGGTGCACCGTGATTAGTTATCTGTTCGCAGTCAGCCTGGTGTCCTTGGCGGGACTGCGGATAGCGTTTCGATTGAACAAGGTTGCAGTGGCAGCAGCTGCTTTTGGTTGGAGATTGGTCAACCAAATCCACCTCTGAGACATCTACCTCACTGTTAGTTAGTGAGTGTGTGTTCAATGTGCTAGATTTTATTTTGTACAACGGGGTATTTTTGGGTGCAGGACCGGTTAGCAGATGCCTGCAAACTGAAGGTAACACATCTCGTACACGAAATAGAACATTCTCCCCGTCCGGTAGGTCACGAAGGTACTGCGAAGCTGTGTCCTGGTCCCAGTCCCGCATATTCCGGTTGTTGATCATCAATAGTTCATCTCCTTCTTTCATTCCGGCAAAACTAGCCGGAGATTTGGGAAGAACAACATCCACAAATAGACTCTGAAGCAGGAATGTTGTACAAAAATACTAAATTTCATATTTATTGCTTTAGACAACATATTGATTAATAACAGTGAGGCGAAGCACTTTAAGATAACATGATGACCACTTCAGAATTTTACCCGGACGTATGACCCGTTATGATGTTACGTAAATCCTTGATAAACTTATGAATTAAGAATGGGTGGATCAAGCAGATGTCATCTATCACAAAACAGCCAAACCAGTTCCTTCCGGTTAAATGAGGTTACTCAAGACCAGTACAAAAATTTGTTTCCGCCTGCTCATAACACCCTGCGGAATTTGGATTGACTTTATACAGATAGGAGCAGCGCATCGGTAACACTATTCTTAATGTGAGCACGAAATTTCGTTAGGCCGCGGAGAAGAATATACTCCGATAACTTTGCCATCATACTGGACCTTCACCAATGCATTTGCAGACCAATTCCCCGGCATCCTCACGCTACATTCCGGAACTGCAGACGTAGGCAAAATTTTCCGTTCAAAGCCTGGTGGCATGATAGAGCGAATTGTGTTATCTTTCATAGTTGTTTTCTTGGGAATAGAAAGCACAGGAGGTAGACCAATTCATAGGAAAGAATCCGTTCCCGAAGATTTGAAATCGGCGAGGTTGGCTGCGTGTGCTGAAGCGCACCAATTAATTTGGCGTTCTTCATAAGTGTCTCCATTTTAACTCATTTGGAGAAGTTACAAATGTACTGCTCGCATAGCTTAGTGGCCTAGTAACCATGAGGTAAGCTGTCAACCAGTATGTGCCGAGGTTTACCCCCATCTCAGGCTCCCTCTCTTTGACGAGTCCAGACATGTTCGAAGCAGGTCGTGGAGTGCAGTGAAGAAGGGAGAGCAACACCGAACCCAGAACTTAATAAATATTTTGCTACTCGGGAGTAAACACGCCCGGGCGAAGTGTATGGCTAGAGAAGAACCGGCGGAACCTAACCGGAATCAGTAGTTTGCTGGTAATCAGCTGATTCACTAGCGGCATTCTTAATCATACAATATAAGTATTTTAATAATATCTATGCCAAGGTGACCATTTCACTAATACTAGTTATACAGATTTAGATGTGCCAGCACGAAAGAATAAGTGTGATAGACTACAGAGCAAATCGTCCGGGCTTGACTCAACTCAATGTCTGTGCATTTAAGTAGGCACTAACGCTGTCCAAACCACAGACGGAAAGTCAAACGGAAAGTCAAATAGAACTACGAAACGCAAAATATGTGAAATGCACACATCACGTACGGAATAGGGTTTGGATTTCTGTATAATTCTAACGCAATTGTTAGACCAGACAAACTGAGATATATGCAGTTTAGATTAATCTAATTTCCATACAGAGTTTTAGGAAGGTCAAAATCACCATCAACAGCAGCAGTACATCCGCTATTTGAACTGATGCTTTCCTTCCATATAAACACAACGACTCACAGAACGAAGAGTAATAAGTGGGAGAGAAGGGGGACTTACCTGAAAATCTTAATGTCCTAAGCAAACATTCAATTGCAAAGCGCCCACACTTCGTGTTAACAACACACCGTCTCAAAAAGCTGGCTATCGTGCAAACATAAGGCGGCATCGGCGAGACAGCTTCCTTGCTACTTTCATTGCGCCGCATCATAACCAACCATTAAACCATAGATAACTCAGCATCAAACACACCTTAAACAGGCAATCCTGCTAGGACACGGTGGCAGACGCGCCACTGGTGTCCACTGCGAGCCATGTCCTTTAAAGTCTCGAGCCAAGCAAAAGGCGAGTCACGTGGACTCCAATCCGGAAGGTGACACGGACTAACGGCACCCAGTTTGGTCGTCAGTGACTTCATTACGCTGCCAAGTTAACTTCTGTATACATCGAGTCTTCCGCTACCATGCAGCATGCAGACTAAACAAGGTCCTCCTAGTTAAGCGGAGACCAGGCATACGTAGGACGTGTCCAAGCCAACGCAAATTATTCAGTGATATCTGGTGTTCTAAGGAGCCAGAATGATTGTCATTTATTAGTATTTGCCTACGCGCATCATCGTTGCGGATACGCTAGTGCCAACCGACACCAGCAGTGCTTTGCAGACAAAGATGATCAATGACTTGAAGACGCGCCAGATCTTCAGACCGAAGGGGCCAAGTTTCACACCCATAGAGTAGGACGGCCCTTACTGAGGCCGTGTATACAAGGCCTTTCAGACGAAGGCCAAGTCCTTTCTGTTTCTGAAGATGCCACAGGTGCAAGAAAGCAGTTCTGGCTTTTGAAATGCATAAAATGATGTCAATTTCTATGCGCCCATCGTTGCTGATGAAGCTGCCAAGGTAAAAGAATCGCTTAACTACCTCGAGTTCCTCGTTCTCGAAGGTCAAGGGGTCATCAAGTGGCTGATGCTCCTGCAGCAACACCGCACTTTGAAGTTGCGAAGTGCATACCAAATAATGGGACCACTATGGACAGCCAATTCTGAGTTGATTGTGCCGACGCAACATCGTCCGAAAGCAAAACGATATCGTCTGCATAATGAAGATCAACTAACCTTTCATCAGTCAGAATCTCAAAGCCTGCCTCTTAAGATTCTGCATGAGAAAGCTCCATGATGTAACTCACAACGAAAGCGAAGAAAAGGAGGAATTAGGACAACGCTGACCTACACTTGTAGTCGGAATGCTATCCGACAGGTCGCCGTAGATCCTAACGCGGCCTGTATTTTCCGACCATAGAGCAGATAGGTTGTTCAGGTATTTCGTAAGAAGACAGTTTTTGAGTAAGTATTCCGAACAGAATGCATCGATCGACAGAGTGGAACGCAGTCTTGAGATCAATGAACACAACTGTTATTGACCTGCGGTATACGAGGCGCTGCTCTAGTACCTGTCGCAAAGGGAGTATATGGTCCATACAGTTGCGTTCTGGGTGGATACCGGACTGCTTTTGCCAAATGCGTGATTCCCGTTTTACTGTAAGGCGACAAACGAGAATCGAGACCAGTAATTTTGTCACAACTGGCGTTAGGCTAATACCCCTGCGGTTTGTACAGTCTTTGCGACTGCCCTTCTTGTATGTTGTCACCATAATCGATTCATTCCAGATAGCCGGAACACATTTTCTTTCGTGCTATGTTCGAATATGGAGGTCAGTACTTTACAGAGAACCTCGCCCCCATCTTTAAATAGTGCAGGTGTGGGGAAATCCGGGCCAGCGTCACAAAAACCATTGAGGGCTGTGATCGCGCTTCGGACCTCGGCCTCCGACGGAGGATCTAAACTAACCTTCCATGGGTTGCCCTGCATCACTGGAGTAAGAAGCGGTCCGGGAGCGGGTGCCAGCTAAACCGATCTTGAAAGTGTTTCGACCAACGAGCCATACGGCGCTCCTTATTATGTTTCAGTGCAACTGCGCAGTCTCTGATTGTCTCACTGACGCTTGGTTTACGGGGACCAGTTTTGCGGATCAGCTAGAAGAGCTTACGGTAATTACCTACTGCTAATGCCACCATCATTTCTTGCGCCCGACTGATCCACCTGGCTTCTTTGTCAGCAAGTAGGCTCCGCTTTATTTCGCGCTTTATAGTCCGTCTGGTCACATTGTGCTCAGAGCCAGACTGGAGGTTTCTTCTAGATTCCCACAGGTTCAACGACCTCTCGGATATCCGGTGACTGTTGCGGTGACCATGGATAGTGCCACAAGCGGATGCTGCTCCTTCGTGTAGGGCAACCGAGATTCTATTCCATTAAAGCTCATTGACATTAGGAAAATACAGAGAAAGTTTGGTACGCAGAGCTTCTTGATAGGTCTGCCTGACCGAGGGCTGAGTAGATTTCGCGGTTGCTAATTGGAGGAGACGCTTAATGCAACTCCCGGTAAATTCATGTAGAAACTACAACGTACCAAGACATGAGCAGAGTCTTTGCGGTTATTCCAGTAGGAGTGGCAATGTAGGATGGAACCACGCCACCTGTAACTTATGATCATGTGGTCAATTTGGGTCCATCGCTGGCCAGCTAAAGAAGGACGCCAAGTGACACTTCTACGTCCGATGTGTCTAAAAGCATTGCTACTAAAAAACAACTGGTGCTCCGCACACAGTTGCAGTACACGATCGGACGATTGTTTCGCCCTACTAGGGCTTGGTAACGGGTCCCAATCCCTCGGTCCAATTCAGGGGGATCGAACCCATGTCCGCTACTGGCGTTTAACCATAGGCAGCAGCTGGTGCCACTGAGCTATAGGGAATGGCTGATAGCCATCGTGGACGGAAAAGTAACTGTCATATAGCCCGACGCATCATCCGCTGCCATGCAAGTTACTGCCTGTGCAGAGGACAGTGGTTAACCTTCAGGTGTTAGAACTTCCCCACCAATAGTCGTGAATCCACTATTTTGTAGACTGTTGGGGTCAGGTTTTGACTACTAATGAGTAGAAAGATTTAGTAAGGTTCAGTTGGTTTATCGTTATTAGATTACAAGCCAGATAGACTAACAACCAAACCGGTTAATATTTAAACATCCGTTTTGTCCGCGTGGGACTCAGCAGGGGTGCCATTTCCTCGGCCTTCTGCAGGAAACCCATCAACCTGATTCATCAGCCACTTGAACTGTGGCATGGTGCTCTGTGGAGTAGGACCACTGAGCAAAACCCAAATATATCCATTCAGGATACGGTCCTCGAGATCGGAATGACCGAGGTTTACCTCAAAGTTAGCCGAGGTCTCAATAGAGGTTCCGAGTCGCAACCCAACCACACAGCGTGCTCCCTAAATTCAGCTTTGGATTAAACTTTCATGAGGTCCTGTGCGTGGCTTGCATGTTTCACCTTTATTCCCTGATTTTACGTACCTGCATAACTATCCAGCTTCAGATAAACATCGAACACTCCATAGCTTGGCACTTAATGGACATGCATTTTATGAGGTGATTTCTTGATCACTATGATAGCGGAGGGAAAGTTAATCCATTTATCCGCCGTCCATCTACACACAGTTCCGTTTATTTGAAAACGGTGGGACGTGAATGCTCACTTAAGAGCCAAACAGAGAAAAAAATGTCGATGCATTTTTCTCCGTAACAGCGATCGACGTTGCACTCAGGGCTAACACGTTGTTGACTAGGTAGATCAATAACTGCAATAAAATGGCGCGCTACTGGCGAGTCCCAATAGGACGAAACGACCGTCTAGCGCTTTCCTGGATATGTTGTGACTGTCTGCCTGTGTCTAATTGCGACGAACCTACACAAAAAGTTAAAATTGTTCGCAAAACAAATCAACACAGCATTGGCAAACCCAACTGTTTCAGCGACCTGGGCATGCGATCGTCTAACTCACAGTTTTACTTACAATGGGGATTCATACGTAGTTACCACGCCGGACAATTCCTACAAGTATGGCTTCTTTTCACTGAGATCACGCTAGCTTAAGAGATCAAAACCCAAATTTGATGGAGCTTTGTAGGCCTGTTATAAATAGCTGTAGCTTCTTTCTTCTTCATAGATGCCGATCGTCAAATACCTGTCTCCAATGACTTATATCTGCCTAACCAACGTTGCAGGGGAAAATGACGCAAAGACATAATTTTCTGAAGAACGAGCGTTGAAAATCCTACCAGCTCTAAAGACAGCCGGTCCTGACATCCAGCCTCAATAAGCAGGCGATTTTCATATTTATGGTAGGTATGGACTAGAAGATTTCAATATAAGCTGTTTGTTACTACGAAAATTTGGTAGCCAGACGCTTGCAAAGTTTAGCAAACTTCTTCCGAACCACCAACGCCGTATGCGAAGTATTGCTCTTATTCTATCTCTTGTCTTTGTTAAGTGGCTGGTACCGTCAAGTCGCAAACGAATATTATTAATATGTGCCCTTACCTACCCACCTGTATGTGAAAGCATAAAACAGCAACGTTCTTGAAGTTTTTGGGCAATTGCTTTTTACTTTCCACTAGTGGTGGGACTGTGACCACGAACAGAACACTGTTCAGGTCCCGGATTAACGTGTTCTTAATGAAAACCCGGCTTATACCATTGCCCTGCAATTTGTCCATTCACCTTTAACTTAACAGTGAGAGTTTAGTAAATCCTGAAGTCGACCTACCCACTGCAAAAGTGGCTCACGCTTTATGAGATATGTTGTACTCGCAATAACCACATATAATTAGGAATTGTGGTCCCAACGCATGATGTTTCAATAAAATCGGGAAGTAAACAGATTATAAGTTCTTACGACGATCTGGGTGTGGACGAATTGCATTTATGGATATCATATTGCGCAAATGCTTAAATTACTGCATAAAACACAAGCTAGGACATTCATCTGCAGCTGGACACGCCCGAGCTGGAAAAGCTGTGTTTAAGAGGACGGTGCCTTTAATAGACTCTGATATTATGTGGCTATTCTAAACATTTTCGTTTCCCCATCAGGGAAGATAACACCGACAACCTTGTATCGTTAACAATCAGCGTTAACGCCAACATCTAGAGTACAGGACGGAGATCGTCAATGTAAAAGCAACGCGACTAGCCGATGGATCAAATCCCTCATTTACCTGCAAATTAACTTACTTCGGGAAACACTGTGTACTTGGACTTTGTGGCTAAGGCTTATAGACCGATGTTGCAGTGCTAATGTTACTTAACATAGGAACAAACCATGTGCAGACAAGGTGGTTATTTTCGACAACATAAGCAATTGTACTATCTTGGAGACTCCACTTGATAGCACCTAGAAGCTGCGTCACTGTAATGCTCAAACCCGCAATTACCACATATTCGAGTGGTGTTATAGCTTCCTACTTTTTATTCCAGTGACTCAGTGGACTGAAAAAATCAAAGGTGATCACAAAGACTTTGCCCGTTATTAGATTTTTTCGGAACATTTTTCGCAGCATTAGAAGCGGTTCTGATAGGCATCTCATGAAGCGCTGTAATCCATGTTAACTAGTCAGAGAAAAGGAACAATGGAGTGGCCAATTTCACCGTTCCACCTTCACCCAGTGCCGCCGTGAAGAACCGAGAAAATAAAACGTGAATTTTGGCCAATACAGTAAACGACATAGCACGATCCATTTGCGGCTTTGACAAATGTTTAAAAGAGTATCTGGATGATGCATCTAAAGTCAACACTCTGGTTAGGAGACCAGCCCGATACTCACTAGATCAGTCAACCTCCCACATGAATCTTCTGGTTATATACCATATCATGCAGAAGAATCCATCACATGTATGTTAGCTTGACTGTAACCGATTCAAACAGAACATCTGGACTACTGACAGCCATTTCGAGAGACTAAACCAGGTTCATTCAATTCACTCACTTCTGATCGCTGTTTTATTCGAATGCCAATACGGCCATCTGATTTCTGTACGGAAACTTCTCGAACGCGGGCCAACAAGACTCTGAAAATCGAAATAGAACTGCAGCTATTTGATACGAAAAAATTGTTCTTCGTGACGAATATAATGGGCAGTCCAAATTGTTTACATGTAATGCGAAAAAGCTGAACATGTTTAGTCACAGAAAAATTCTCAAGTCGGAGCGGATGGTGGATGGTAGTACCCTTGTGATGGAGGAATCATGTCGGACAGATGATGTCAAAGAAACGTCCAGGTAAACAGCTTTCTCAATCGATAAACGACCAACGACTCGCTTTCCTTAAATTTACTCCTTTGATGCTGATTTGTTCTCGATACACGCAGGTGTTTCCGTAAATCGCTGCTCCTCTTTCTTGAATTAACCTCCCAAAGTGTGATGCAAGAGCAAGCGCCGTCATACGTTGTTACAGATTGATATTTTGCTAAGATTTCTCCGTTAGACGTCGGATGCTTCTCCGATTTGAGGCAGCAAAACAACTTGTTTATCGTTGAACGAGCATCCGTCTTGCAAAGGTTTTTCATAGGCATAGGATAACGGTGCATGCAAAGCTTTGTGTGACGGACCAGTGTTTCGTCTCTTATCACAATGACTATAAACGGCCACAAATTAGCTGCGCTTATCGAGGGCGGATTGTGTTGTACAAACAGTAAGTGAATCGATATACCGCTTATCCTATATGAACATGAGGGTATAAGATTTGAAGGTATGTGGATGGGAGCCATCGTGGACCCAAAGTAGTCTCACTTTCTTTCCACGCGCAAGTTATTGATGCAAAACTTGGTGGCATATGCTTTCCATGCAAGCGCATGAGGGTGGCCAAGCCGTATGGTTTTTCATGGTGTAATCAGCCTTTGGGCCTTGCATGGTACTTGGGGCGATGTGTACTTTGCTATTAAACCAGCAGTAAGTCTACGACATGGATTTATAAATGTTGGGACCATCCGGACCTTCAAAATTGTCCAGCGTAAACGCTGTCAGTCCTAGATGATGATAAATTCGCCTGATCTGATTTGTACGCTCATGACTTAACAACCACATTAGTTGGATCAACCAACCAAACTGAGGTGATAGATGACCCGGTCATTTAGCGCTTATCTCCTCAGTCACGTACAAGGCAACTAACAAGTTGGAGACAAGCAAGGTCGAATGCGATAGATTGGGGCTCAGCTGATGGCCAACTATTACTGCGGCACTACCATGGCAAGCTCAATGTTACTGTCAACTGCTTCTGTACGCACAGAGGTTGCCTTGCACGTGAATGAGGAGATAGGCATGAAATAAGCGGGTCATCTCACAGCTTACGTCTTTTGATATTGCTGTTTAGATTTGTAAAGCGAACTTTTGCTTCAAACTGAGGTGAACTTTTCGCCTTGCACCATCCATATTCCATTTGAATACGTTCCTCTACCTCAACAATCTAGGTCAAAGCACCCAAATTGCAACGTAGTGTCAACAAGAAGAGAACCACTTTTCTAAAGGAAAAAGGCATCAACACTGTTTCATAAAACACCAATGTCAATTGAGGAATAAATGAGATACAGCTTACACCAATATGGTTTATATGCCTCCGATCACATGTGAGTCTAATTATTTTTCGCGGCTGAGTAGTGCGATCTCGCCTGTTTATTAGAAAAGCTAATTATGTATTGTGATGCAGGTAGATAGGAACAATTAGTTGTTAATGATATCAGTTCATTTCACTGAAAGAACGTTTTGCAATAGACCATGAGAACTAGACAACAAAAAACTCAGTTGGTTAAGAAAATTCGAGGCGGTACAAATGGCAATAGTTGGAGAGAGGTCGTCAAGCATATGAGCCCGCCTGTTATTTAGACAACTTTACTGAACGCAGCACAAGTAGTTAACTGTTTACGTGGTAACCTGTATTTAAGTGCATCACATTAATTAGTACATTAAAGTCACAACAATGTATCCTCAAGCTGTGATTTCGCGCCATTTCGAGGTTAACTTATGAGTTGTGGTCATCTATCGCCATACCCTTAGCAGCTGCCTAGTGACGAACGTCGCTAGTCGTATTGGGTACAGTTCCTGAGAGAGCTAAGAAATATACAATAATGGATCATCTTCAATAGGATGAAAGGGCCATCTAGTTCTTTTCGGTATTGCTGGCAAGCCATCTGCATTGTGAGCAACTGCAATTAATGGAACAATGTGCTTAATATGCGGCAAGCTTGAGCCACTTAGGAAAATTGCGTTTCGCTGCCTTAATTTCCCTTGAATGAAGCGCTTACCTCAGAAGGACCGAATTTGCTGACAAGCAACATGCTGTCCACGTGCAAATCGTCAACCACGTAGGAGTAACCAAAGATATACATACTGAAATCAATTATGCATGAAATCGTTCGATATACAGCCGGTCAGTTGGTGAGCTTCGCCTACTGTGTTAGGTTTAGGGTCAAAATTGGCTGTTGCCCTAAGCTGTCACAAGCACTAACAAAGCTACCTCGCAGCCCGTCTGCCAACCTGTTTGTTTGAGAGTATAGAACATTCTCTGTCCCATTGCTCCTTTTTGAATCGTCCCAGTTGCACGCAACATAGCCGAATGTGACCAGGTGAGGTAGACCGTTCGACTCAGTGAAGGTTTCTGGGTTGGAGTCCGCAAAATTAACGCTTCTGTTGAAATACTTTTGTCCTTATTCTATCGGTCCGCATGACATTTTCGTATACCTAAGTGTGTCGCTAATAATTTGTTACACAATTAACCGAACGTTTTGGTACAGAATCCAGTAGCAACGTCCGCGTGATTAATATTTATGCTCAAAAATTTAATGGTGGCATATAAGTTTAGTGCTCACTGTTCTATGCACCAAGAGAGACATCATACAAATAAGTGTTTAGGTACAACGCCCTACATCAAAAGCCCCAACTCGGCGTCTCTAATCTCAAACTAACGGTGGACCATTTTTGTGCATACGACCAGTTCTCCAAATAGGTCGTTGTCTTCCTGAAGCAAGTGCGTCTAATTCTGTTGATCTATACGAATATCAAAATTGAACAAGTGAGCTGTGCTTCAGAGACATATGTACTTAAAATCATGTTCCTGTCGCGTTGTAGCCTAGGTTAGTAAAAACCGGTTCTTCAGGGATAAGCGACAAATCCAGTCGGCCACTGGTCTTCAGGTTCACAAGCCTGCCTTGTAATTGGAGGTCGCGGGTTCGAGCCTGCGTAGCGGACCGCGCGACACCTGCAGTTCAGTTGTTTGGGGATGCGTTGTCGTTTGATCTGTCCAAGTGTTGAAGTGCCTGATTTCTCCGGTCCAGTACCATGAACGGCCTAAACCATCGGGTAACTCACTTAAAAACGATGAGTGTTTGACACTTACCACTTTGTATACAAGGATGTTCGTTTTCCCAATAACTTATCATGTCGGCAGTTGTGTGAAGAGAATTTTAGAGGCTAACTTGTCAAAGGAGTTGTGATAAGGATTTGTAAAGCCAGCCTGCTCAGCATCCGTGGATGATTAAATCAGATTCGTAATCGGATAGCAAATACTGATGCCTGGAATGAGCACTGAGTATCGCTCTGAGAGTGTCTCTGGGTAACAAACAGTCTGCCACATCACCTGCTGTCACCTTTCTTCTTCAACTTCGCTATTGACGAAGTCATGAAAATCAAGTTTAAATGTCACGACTTAGAAGGTTTGGATATGCTCCCAGGAGAAAGACTTCTTGACTTAAATTATGCTGATGATATTGCCCTAATCTGTGACAGCTCATAAATATGCCAAGCGGCACTGGAAAAATTATCACTAGCTGTCCGTCACTTCGGGCTTTATTTCGCACCTTCAAACTTCAAAGCCTTCCTCCAAGATTGGTCTGGACCGCAGCCCACTTGAGTGTTGGTTGGGATCAGCTAGAAGTCGTTCAAAAATTCAACTACCTGGGAAGTTGTATCAGCGTCAGTGTGATTGAAAATGAAATCACGAACCGTTTACAAAAGCTCGGGTCGCATTTGCTTAACTTCGTTACTTATGTCGCCGGTGCGTCATTGCGCTCGCCGTGAAGTGTAGTGTACAATGCAGTGGTACCTTCAACCCTACTGTACAGTTGTGAAATCTGGCCCTTTAAAGCAGCGTACCTGAAGAGGCTAGTTACGTTCGACCACCGGTGCGTTCGCAATTTAGCTCACATATGGTGGGAACCCCGCATGAGCAACGAGCGTGTTCGAAGTCTTGTTTACAGCACAGGAAAGCGAACTGAACCGCTCAGCACCGTCATTTCACGCACCATGCTCCGATGGCTCGGTCACGTATTACGCAGACCAGCCCACAGACTCCCGCGACGTGCATTGTTTGCGCGCCGGGGGTGTGGATGGAAGAAGAGGAGAGGTGGCCAAGCGATGACTTGGTCCAGAGGAATGAAGGCTCTCACTTCGAGGCCGGCCTCAGTTGGAACTTCTCGGCTCCCTGGTTGGGGTCCGAAGGACGATGAACACGTTTGGCTGGATACACTTGGTGATCTGGCTAGGAGCCGACCTCATTGGCGTTCCTGCAGTGAGTCTCTTTATCCCACCCTATCCCTCTTAACCTCCCCCTCCAAACATGATCTCACTATTTATCCTTATATAATTTTGCATAGCAATTATTTGATGCACAGTAAACGGCCGGCAGCTTATCGGAACGATGCCCATCCGTTACCGGTAGCTCAGCCAGCTTGTACCAGTTGCATTTTTTCTCTCTCCTTTTGCTATGTGTTGCGGCACAGTAGCTGAGGTGTTTCCCACCTCTAGCTAAGGTGTATGACGATGATGATGATCTGCTGAACCTAAATCACTCAAGTTGGGCCGGTCAAGGTGTTCGTGTATTTGCTGAACGCTGTCTTGATGCATTGTTTCTCGAAGCTGCACCTGGAGTTTGGATAGTGTGGAAACTACGTGCGGAAATTCACTGAACGTATGTAATCTACCATTACCTCACCTCTTTTTAATAAATTGGATTACCTTGGTTGACATAGAATTTAGCGCATTCACTGATTTAACGATGAGACAATGTAGTCCCCTTCTT